ACACACACACACACACACACACACACACACACACACACACACACACACACACACACACAGGCGCCTTTCTGGGCTGGGGAGACGTCCGGAGTCCTGCTGGGCTGGGCTCAAAGAGCCTTTTCCTCTCTCCTCTCTCTCTCCCTCTCTCCCTCTCTCTGGCCCCCTAGGCCCCCTGGAGGAGACGCCCCAAAGGGATTCTGAGATGGTGAGTTTGCTCCCTCCCTCCCTCCCTCCCTCCCTCCGCAGCTTCTCCCAGGCAGGGGCTCAGTTCGGCCCTGGTGCCCACGTAGCCCACCCCTCCCAGCAGTGGGGGCTGCCAGTGGGGGGAAGTCAGCCAAAGGGATGGACAACTGCAGCGCTTGGCTTCTGTCCGGAGGGGCGTTGGGACGTTTGCTCCCTGGCCAAGGAGATTTGGGGTTTTCTCACAGGGCCAGGAAAGTTCTGGATTTTTATTTTTTTACTTTCTCGATCGTTGAAATCAGGAGTCTCTCCTGTTCCATCTCCATCCTGGCTGCCTTGACTTTCCCGTATGAAAAACGGGAATTCCTCGTCTCCTCCTGAGACAACAGAAGTTCGGCTGCGTAAAATCTCGAGTTAAAAGTTTATCCGACATCTTCCATGTCCCCTTCCGAGGCCTCCCTGTGCTCGAGGCCCCTTCACAATGGTGCCAGACTGGCGTCACTCCCTGATGTGTCCCTGACAGGTTTACTCCCTGAATTCTGAGCCCTGCGGCTACTGCCTCATCATCAACAACGTCCATTTTGACAAACGGACGGGTCTGAAACTTCGCCAGGGCTCCGACGTTGATCGCCAGAGGCTGGAGAAGAGGTTCCGGGCGCTGCATTTCGAGGTCTTGGCCAAGGAAGACCTCACAGCTCAGGTGGGCATCTCACGCTGGGGCTTGGAGGGTCCCCAACCTTCCCCCAGCTGGAGAGAGTGGAAAAAGCTTTAAGGCTCGTTCCCCGAAATGTTGACCCAGCCCCTCAAGTGCAGAGCTTGCCTGAGAGCAACGCCCGTCCTTCGGCTGAACCTGCCCTCTCTGGGACCACCCGCAGGGAATCGCTCAGGAGCTGCAGAGTCTGGCCGGGCGCAATCACAGCGGCCTGGACTGCTGCCTGGTAGTCATCCTCTCCCACGGCTGCGAGGTAGGTGGATGCCCAGAGCGGCTTCGTGCAGGGTGGCGGGGTGCTTTCCCCAATGGGACCAGCAATGAAAGGCTGTGACTCTCCCGTCCGAGCGACCTGCCCCTTGAGAGCTTCCCTTCCCTGGGGCCGCTCCCGGGGGTCTCCGGGCCTCTTCCAGAGCTACCACATCCAGATTCCGGGCGCCATCTTTGGGACGGACGGGCAGCGCATTCCGGTGCAGAAGGTGGTCAGCTATTTCAACGGCTCCCACTGCCCGAGCCTGAGGGGGAAGCCGAAACTCTTCTTCATCCAGGCCTGCGGAGGAGGTGAGGGGGGGGAGGTTTCTCCCGCAGAGACGGAGGGGCCACAGGGCCCAGACCGTCCCCTGAGGAAACGAACCTCTTGGCCTCCCCAGAGGAAAAAGACCCAGGCTTCGAAGTGGAGACTGACGCAACGCCAGGCCAGCGTGGAGGGGAGGCCGTGGAGTCAGACGCCACCCCCACGCCGGGCCCGGGAGGAGACAGCGATGAGCTCGATGCCACGGCCAGTCTGCCCACGGACAGCGACATCTTGGTTTGCTATCCCACCTTCCCAGGTAAGGGGCAGAAGTCCCTCCTCCTCCTCCGCCCTTCGCCTTTCAGCCGTGATGAGGTCAGGCCTGTTGTGACATGTGGCGCTTGTGTCCCAAAGGCCACGTCTCCTGGCGTGACACCCAGAGCGGATCCTGGTTCATCGAGGCTCTGGATCAGGTCTTGGCTGAAAAGGCCCACCTGGAGGACCTGCCCAGCATGCTCACGAAGGTACCTTCACGCACCCCCTCCCCCTTTGCCAGCCCTCCAGGCGGTGGGACCCAGGAGACACAGCAGCTCCTTCGGCTTTTAGTCGTCGTACCCCACCCCCGGCCCCAAACCTTCCTCATCCTCAAGCCATCACTTCCGGCCTTCTGTGGGGGGGCTAAGGTAGGGGCCCCCCGTGGCCTCTGCAGGAACCCCTTTCTCACCTCCCCCCCCCCCTCCTTCCAGGTGGGGAACATTGTGGCTGACAAAGTTGCGGGGCCTTACAAGCAGATGCCGGGTTACTTCAACTTTCTCCGGAAAAAGTTTTTCTTCAAAGCATGACAACATTTTGGCTGCTGCTTCCCCGTTCCTGGGACTTGAGACATATTTCTGCGGATGTATTGGGGGGGGGGGGGTGTTTGAGATGCTAAGGCCCCATTTCGCCACCTGGTACTAAGGATCTGGTGTCTTCCCAGTCCTGCGTTCGATGGGGAAGCCCCCAGCAACGGGCAGAGACCCCAGACTCCAAATGATCCCCCCTCCCCTATCGGCCAGCCTTTGGAGTCCCATGGGAACCTCCTCTTAATCTTTTGGCTTCCGGAGTCCTAAAGGAACTAATCGATGTGAATCCATTTTCTACTGTTTACATTTCTATTCTTCCTCTTTTTCAAGAAATCAAGATGATTACAATGTGAAGGAGCTCATATAAATCGTTTTTGAGCCACAAGCGTTAATCTTATTTTTTTAAAAACCCTTTAAGGGATAAACACCAGCCCCGCTTCCTTTGGGGGGTCTCCATGAAAGAAATTCCCACGGGGAGGGGGGGGAGGCAGCCAGGAGAGAGACCCAGCGCCTTGCTGCAAACCCCCTTTTCCCAGGAAAGGGCTTCTCCATATCCACTGAATGAGTAAAAAATCCCACCCCCCACCCCCATTTATTTCCTGCAGAAGGCAGCTAACGGAGACCAGAAAAGGGGGAAACAGACACCCCTTCCTCAGCCCGATTGGCTCAATTCCAAACAGCTGAGAATAAATTTATGCTCTGGAAAGAGGCTTCCCCCACTCCCCTTCCACTCCCACCTGCTCAGGGGCTCTTGCCCAAATCTGGGGCGAGATGGGAACTCAGGAGCCCCCCAGCCCAGAAGAAGCAGGAACTGGCAGGAGCCCCTTCGGCAGCAGTACCGAACCCAGCCACTGGGGGGAGCGGGGGAGCAGCCAATGATAAAGCAAGGCTTATCCTGTTTTCTTTGGGACGCTAGTACCTCATTTAGCCACCAGGGGCAGCAGTCTGCTCATATGTGCCCCAAACTTCTACTTTATGGGCCCACTACTCAATTCAGCCACTGGGGAGGGGGGACAACACCATCCACAGTTCTTCATTGAGTTACATTCTCCTCTATGGCTTCCAATCTCAGTGGTCGTAAATTGAGGACTGGCTGTATTCCCAGACGTAACGGAGAGGAGTTTGAGGAAGTCCCAGGATTTGGGGGGGGGGGGGGGGGGCAGGAAAAGCCACAAACACCGGAGCCTTTTGCATAACAAAGCGTTTATTATTCTGCTTCTTTCATCTCCATTCACAAGGCGGCTCAGTTCTGCTTCATTTTCTGTGGGGGGAGAAGAACGCAGAGAGTTTGGGGGGGGGGGGGTTTCCAGTCAGCCCCTTCTTCAAAGCCCACTGCAGTCGAGAAAGCCCCCCCCCTCTCCTGGGAACCTGGGCCATCAGAGAGGGGCGCCTGCCGCAGCCCCCTCACCTGGGTGATCCAGGGGATGTAGGCGGAGACCCGGGCGAAGACGGTGGGCTGCTTGGCCACGTTGCACTTGGTGGAGCCGAAGCTGACGATGCCGTGGACTTGCCACGTGTGGCCGATGCGGCAGTTCAGGGGGCCTCCGGAGTCGCTCTGCAGATAGAGAAGCCGAGGGAGGGATGCCCGGAGGGACGGGGCGGCCCCTTCCCAGGCCTTTGGGCTGCTGCTGCCAATACTAAAGCCCCCCCCGCCCCCCAATTCGTGCCCTTGGCTGGGCCGGGGGGGGATTCCCCTCGCTGAAGGGGGCCCGGTGGGATTTCAGCCACAGTCCCCGGGGCAGGGGAGGTAGAGGCCGGCTGTCTTTCGGGGGCTGACTGGGAGATCCTGTTCTTGAAGTGGGGCTCCCAGGGTTGGTTGGGGTTGCTGCTGTGCCAGCCTCCTCACCTGGGCTGCTGGGGGCCGTCTCGGGGCTGGGGGTGACAGGGGGGCTTCCTCTGCTCTCCCTGCACCCCCCCCAGGCCACCCGTGGGCAGAGGGTGGCAACCTGATCCGAGGGGAGCTGGATGGACCCAGCCGGGATCCAGAGGCAGCCGGAGCTGCTGTGCTGAGGGCCCGGACAGAGGATGGCGCCTGTGCGGCCTCTCTGGTCCCATCGTGCCCGGCCCTCCCCACGGCGGAGGGAGTAGCAGGAAAGGGCCAAGAGAGGAAGGTGAACCTGATCGATGGGGGCTCAGAGCTGCTTCCAGTCCTGCCTCATGGCGGAAAGCCAGCCTTCCTCCACCCCTGTGGTGCCCACAGCCTTTTTAAGGCCCCGGGGGAGAATGGGGGGGGGGGTCTGAAATTTACCCCTGAGGGAAAATGGGTGACTTCAGGGTCGGGCAGAGGAATTTAACCAAATCCCTGGTCATTAGCCAAATGGTCTTTAAGTGAGCCGCTGGTTCTCTCTGGGTGAGGTTTTGTTAAGAAACAAGTAAATTAACCTGGGCTGTTGTGGCTGATCATATCTAACCACGGTTCGGCCTTTGGGGGCCCCCATCGGTCTCTGTGCTTAAGGGCCCCCCAGGTCGTGCAGGAGGAGCAAACTTACACTGCACCCCGAAATGACGCCGTCTCCCCCTGCGCAGACCATGCTGGCCTTGACCATGGAGCCCCACCAGTCCTTCTGGGTGCAGGTGGCGTGGTCC